TTTAACACTATTTATTTTATGCTCAGTAATAATAGGGCTAAATACTTTCATTACATACTGAACAGGCTTTTTATTTAAAAAGATTAAGATTATTTAAAAAGTACTCACTATTGTTTTATTGTTCACTTTCTGTGAACTTTCCATCTCATGTCCAACAGGAAACATTTCTGAGGTGTCAATTATAGTGTCTTCCTGTAAAGTACTCACAACATAAACTCTGTGTTAAAAAAAAGACTAACATGACGAGATTTAATGTGTGTACCACCTGTTGAACCACTGTGTTCCGTGTTTCTATATAGCATGTGGCTTAAGATGCTACACATGCACAGCTGCTGACCCACATTCCTGCACAGACACCACATCTTGTTCTTTCATCTTCAACCGCTGTTACTCTTTGAGGGTAGAAGGTAAGTTGTTTTTCCACATTCAATATTTCTAATACTGGAAATTCTAAGCACACAACAAAATCAGTCCTCAGGCAGCTGATGCAATATGTTGCTGCACTGAGTGCCTGGTGGCTATGATGCGTTTTATAAACTGAGTTCTGGGAGTTTTTCCCCTTGTTTTTGGCAGGTTACAATGTGGTCACCAAAGGCTGCCAGAATAGCATAACATGTGGAGGCGCCATAGCTTGCTGTGAGGGGGACCTGTGCAACAGCGCCATACCTACTGGTCCCAGTATCATCCTCCTGCTGGTATCTTCATCCGTCATCACACTCTTACTTTGAGCCTTTGGAAGAGCTACAGCTGTGAATATTTACTGTAGCAGTTCCCATGTAACACTTTTGATTTGTACAACTTTAAAAGTCAAACTTTTCATTTTCCCTCCTGCTATGAGTCATTTGGACCAATTTTCAGTCGACTAAAATACTGATTTCCTTCTCTTTTATCCCTGGAATTCATTAGTGTCCTGATTTTAAGTGTAAAATGTGTCTGTCCCCTGATCTGTAGTGGAAGGTCTGTACTGAATTTGTATACATTGATGTTTGTAGATCAATTTGACCTGCATGTGTTCATGTAGTCGTATGTAAAGGCAAAATAAAAAGGGTTAGTTATTGACAATGACATTATTCTGTTCACTGGTTCTGACTGGTCTGGCAGGGTTGCACTGTAAAGCTGTCCCACACAATACTGCAAGAGTTTGCCAAAGAAAGAGACAAGGATGCACTCCAAAAGACTGAAGGATGAAACAAATGACCTGCAAATGAGCTTCGCTTTTAGACTTTGCTTATGTGAACAGTATCTATTTGCATCTTCGGCTGGAATTCTGTGCAGGGACTTAAAGACTCTTTGTTGCACTTGCATAACATTCAAACACTTATTTTAAAGGGAATAAAATGCACACGTTTTGAAAAAGTGCACATTGTTCAAGTTTTAAAAGGAAGAAGTTGGACTATAAATGAAAACATTCACACACTTTCTCTGGGTTTCTTTTTACAGGGTTTATTATCATATTACAATGCCAATATATTTTCTAAATTTTCTAACCACTTCAGTAATAAATAAAATGCAGAAATTGATTT